TGGCGATGCCGAAAATCACCCGCGGCCCCGTCTCCTGGTTCCCGTAGCCAGACACGTGCTTTCTGTCGCCCTGACTCTGTCCCGTACGTGTCTGGCGTGTGCTGGAGGGCTCCTGCCCGGCCACCCGCCGCTCGGCCTAACTCTTCTGTCCCGGCCCTTTCTCTCTGCAGCCATTCGTGGGTTTTCGCCGCAGCACAAGATCCGCAGCTTCGAAGAAGCCAGGGGGCTGGATCGCATTAACGAGCGCATGCCGCCGCGCAAAGATTCAATGCACTCAGACGGGCCGGTGAACTTGGTAACCTCAACAAACTCTGCGGACAAGAACGGCACAGGGAAGAAAGCCCAGTAACGGTCCGAGCGCCCGATCTGCACCACTAAAGGATCCAAAACTTAATGAATTTTATTTATTTATTATTGGGGTGGGGTGGGGGCAGGGGAGAAACCAGCTTCACCTGGAGGCACGTTCATAATCCAGTTTGCATCCGTTCTGTAAGAAAGGTGACCATTTTGTAATTTTTTTATTTATGTTCAATATATAAAAAAGTCCATCTTTTTTTAATTTAGAAACCAATCTAACTGCTAGTGCATATATGAAGTGTTGTGCTGTACAGCTGACCTCTCCTCCACGAGAGGCGAACCTCCACGGGGGAGGGATTAAAAGCAACAAAACCCAGTCCCAGGCAACTTGGGTCGTTGACTTTGGTACAGTTCCGAGTTAGCCTGTGCTTTCCGAAGCAGGTCCTTGCGTGGAAAATAGGCTTGGGTTGGTTTTTCTTTTCACCACTGTCTTCTTCCCAGGGTTTGCTGTCGTTTTTCTTCAGCTTCTTGCCTACCTGCGTCTGCCGCTTTAGCACCCGGGTCCGCGGAGGGCACCTTGCGTGGGGCAGCTGGCTGGGGTCCGTCCCTCTCCGAAGGCGGCATCTGAATATTCAGGATTAGCTCTGACGGACTCCAGCGTGTTACACCAGTCCCAGCGCCTCTCCCCCCAGTAATTCGGCAGTATTCCGGCGGGGCCCTGAGCGGAAAAGCAGCCCCGTGCTCGGAAGGGGAAGGCAGGTGGGAGAAGCGCTGCCCCTTGTCGCGGCTCTTCCCAAGGCGTCGGCCGTGGGGACTCGGAGCTTGTCAGCCGGGGCTGCCCGTGCAGCAGAAATCCCGCTGGGAATCGCTGATTCAGCGCCTCTCCCCCCAGTAATTCGGCAGTATTCCGGCGGGGCCCTGAGCGGAAAAGCAGCCCCGTGCTCGGAAGGGGAAGGCAGGTGGGAGAAGCGCTGCCCCTTGTCGCGGCTCTTCCCAAGGCGTCGGCCGTGGGGACTCGGAGCTTGTCAGCCGGGGCTGCCCGTGCAGCAGAAATCCCGCTGGGAATCGCTGATTCCGAGCAGAGCAATGATCTCCAGTCTCTGGCGACCGGCGGGGCTTCGGGAAATCTGCGGGGCCTCCGTTTTAGAGGGGGGAAAAAAGAGGGCGGTGTGTGACCTGTGGACCCCAGTTCCCGGGTTAGCCGGCGGCGATTCCGAAGGAGCCACGGGCACGCCTGTGGCAGGTTGGCAGGGCAGAGGGCCGAGTGGAGCTGGCAGAGATGTTGGCAGGGAGTCTGTGCGGGGCTGGAGAGGGAGGGGGGGGGTCTCCTGGCGACGGGGGGGTTTCCAGAGGACACCCCTCTTCGTGGCGCCAGGGCCTTTGGAGCTTGGATCTGTTGAGCACGGCCTCGTTCTTTCACTTAAACTTTGGCCCGAAGCGAGGGTTGGCAAAGGATTTTGCGAGGTTTTTGGTCGCTTCCCTTCCCCAGAGCCACGTCCTCGCCCGCCTGCGACGGCGCGGAGTGGAGCAGCAGCTCTCAGGAGCAAATCCCTCGCCAGCTTTCGCTTCTTTTCCACCTGAACTGCCTGCTGTGCTGTCTCCAAGCCTGGGCAGCGGGTGAGCGGGCTGAGCCTCTCGTAAGGGACATTTGCCACCCCCTGCTCTGGGTCTTGCTGTCTTCGCTTTGTGCTCCGGCCCGGAGCTGCGACGCCAGCGACAGAGGAGAACAGCAACCTTGCAGGAAGCTTTCAAATTGTCTTATAATCATCCGTCACTCCATTTCATGCCAGCTATTTAGGAAACGGCATCTGTGAGCAGACCGCTGGGTTTTCACAAGAGACTTTTGAGTCGCATGCCTCCACTTGTCCTTTTTTTTTTTCTTTTTTTTTCCCCCCTTTTTTACGCGCCCACCGCTTTGCGACAAGCGCGAGATGTTGTGAGCGAGCTTCTCTAACCCCATCCGAGGCGTGGGGCCAATTGCCTTTGTCTGTGAGTGTTTCTGCTGGGTTGTTTTCTCTCTTTTTTGATTTTTTGACGGCATCCTTTCTGAGACGCAGTGAGCCCATGTGTGGTATCTTCCTCTGAGAACGCAAAACCGTGCAAAGGTGCTGCCCGTGCATGTTCGGGCACGTTGTTCTGACCCAGGCTGGGGTCTCGCCCAAGCAGCGGTTTGAGGCGGGAGCTTTGGGATGGGGAGGGGGCTGCTCGGACCCCGAGCCCCCCCAGCCCACATGTGGGGGTTCGGCAGGGACCGTCCCGTGGCGGACGGGGATTTGCTTTGCTCCCGGGTCGCCCCCCGATTTTCTTCTCGCGCTCCGGCCTCGCCACCTTTCCCCCAC